AAACAAATTGTGGTGTGGCATTGGTGGGACACCAGTGTCGTACCAAAGTACATGAAAAACGTCTAGCTGAAATTCTGTTTATTAATTTAGAAATTTAATGAAAAATTTTCACCGAAAACTGATTAATATCCGAAACCGTTTATCCTCCGCATTCTTTTAATGACGGTTTCGATTACGTCCTTCGTGAGCCACAATTCTCGTGAAATAGAGACATGTAATTTATTTAATTAAGCCTAATCGCCCAAGTCCGTGACTGTACTCGCGGTGCGGTGTGCCGTTCCTACGAGCGAGAGCAAGAGAGAGAGAACGAATACGTAAAGAAAAAAGGAGAATCGACCTTTTCCAAATGACTCTCTTCCTTTAGCGGTGTGTCATTTAATCGCAACAGGTGTTTTGGAAACCTACCTTTTTTTCTGTTATTATTTGTATTCTTTTTAGTTCTATATTATATGGAAGGTAGCATATAATATTTGTGAATGTTTCTAGCCTTGTCAGAGTTCTCTATATTCAAGATTTATCAATCTCAATACTTAATTTCTTGACTGGGAAAAGTAAAAAATAGATGAGAATATCAAAGTTGTATTAACAGGACATTGCAAGTTTAAGAGTCCATTTCACTAGTCTGAAAAAATAGCAAAATAAGCATTCGGCATTTAACGTTTTATGTAAAACTGGCTAGGTATTTTTAAACAAATGAGAAGGAAATTAAAGATAAAGGATTTTGCTATATTCGTATTGTAGCACATTTTTAGACAACTTCTTTATTTTTAAGATTTTGATGGTAAAACATCAACAAAATATTCCTTGTAAGTTGTAATGTTTGGACTAAATTTTCTCGAAAATAAAGACAATTTAAAATTTCCTTACAAAACCGAAAATATTGAAGTTTTTGATTACAATGATATATAACAAAATAAAACACTAAATCACCACAATACACCAAAACACTTTTACTTATACACTGGACGCGCGTTTCGCTAACCATATTAGCATCATCAGCAGATGATTATAAACTTAAAACTAAAAAAAAATGATTATAAACTCCTACTTAGTTTATAATCATCTGCTGATGATGCTAACATGGTTAGCGAAACGCGCGTCCAGTGTATCAGTAAAAGTGTTTTGGTGTATTGTGGTGATATAGTGTTTTATTTTGCTGAGTAACACCAAAGGTTCCAACCCTCAACTGTAATGATATATAATTTATATTTTATATGGTTTTGTAACAAATTGCTCTCGCTATTTTATGAAGCAATAAATGCTAAAGCTCTGCAAACCAAATCAAAGCACGTGTGTTTGGAATTTTGGGTGTGGCTTAATAGGCCAGTCAATCTGGAGGTTGAGGTGGAAAAAATTAGTAACCAACCGATCTCAACGGGAATATGTAGATAATGATCTCTTATTTAACCTCTCAAAAGTCCCAGTGGGGGAAGTTTGAAAAAAACAAAACTCAATTTACTCAAGACATACTTTCAGGTAACTATAAAGATATATCTATTATAGGAAATGTTATAAATTATATTTTTTAGATTCAAGAATGGATTGGTAACAAGTTAGATCCTTTACAATATGGATGGAAGAAAGATCAAAAAGGCAATCTGACACCTATTCAATCGACAGAAGATGTGGCGCCTCCTGACCTACTAAAATTATTTTTTTGCAATTGCAAAGGGAGTCAGTGCTTTAATTCTTGTAGAAAACTGGGTCTTAAATGTTCTTCAAAGTCTGGTTAGTGCTACGGAATCAGTTGCACAATCTTTTGTATTTTAGGTGAAGACGAAAATGACGCTCAGGATGACGTCATAGCAGATTTTATTTAATAATTTTAATTTAATAATAATTCTTTAACAATAATTTTATTTAATAAATAATATCTAAACGTTATTTTTAAATAATTTCTAAACGTTTTAATGCTTAAATTTATAATTGGTTTATCTATATTAACACTATACTGTTAACTCAAAAAGTATAGCTGATTGGTTTAAAAAAACTGGAAAACTTATAAAACGTATAGTAAAAAATTGCTCTATCTTTATTACTATTTATTTTAGAGAAAAAATGATTCAAAGTATAATATTCTAAATTTAATTCTCTACAAAAGTTATATCTTTAGTTTTTTCGAAAAAAGTTAAGCAAACGGAGATATTTGAAAAAAACGAAAAAATCCAAGATGGCGGCGGTTTTTTTCAAACTTCCCCCACTGGAACCGAATGGGACTTTTGAGGGGTTAAATAGGAGATCATTATCTACATATTCCCGTTGAGATTGGTTGGTTACTAATTTTTTCCATCTTTACATATAATACTCGGCTACGTTTACTGGCCTATAACACGACAGGATCGGGCTAAGCATTAGGCAGATTTCTGAAATATGATATATATTTTCTTCGGCCACATACCCGCTTTATCCGACCCCTAAGAGCGACCCGAACAGTACCGCGTAACAGACTCTTAATAGGCTTTAAAAGCAGTTAGGTTTGGAAAAAAATTGTGTGTGCACAATGTGCGCATATTTGAAATAAAAACTTCTTACTAACAGCTATCAAACTGAAGGATTTGAAGGACACGTTTGAAAAAGTATAGTTTGAAATGTTTAAAAAGTAATAAATTAAAAATTAATAAATAATTTCATTCGCTTTCACAAATTTTTTATTGTTTTTGATGGGATCACATTTCTTTTTGTAAGTCATTCTTCTTTCATTTTCAGGTAATAAATCTTTCAAAATAATATCAGTAAATAAATAAGCCTTTTCCAATCATGAAACCAATAATGGCAAATTATAAACAAAAATCGCACATGTGTATTACTATCACAGCCGATCGATACAACTAGAGATGAGCAAAACTGCGATTGCGATTTTTAAATCGCAGCGACTGTAACCTGCAATTGCGATTTTAATATTTAAATATTTTACTAGGCATATAATTGTCTGTGTATGTATCTATAGCTTAGAGATACATTCAGGCTGAGAGCGTCGAGCGTCGCGTCGCGTTTGCGTCGCGTCCGCCCCGTTGAACACGAACCCCGACGGTCAGCGGACGCTAGCGCAACGCCAAACGCGACGCTGTCTGCCTGAACGGTCTAATTTAAGTTAAGTGAATTGATTCCATTTCGACACGCGGACGCGACGCAAACGCGACGCGACGCTCGACGCTCTCAGCCTGAATGTACCTTAACAGTTCAAAACACTTAATAATAATGAGTTATTTAGTTTTTAAGATTTTTTTTAACATTTACAACACATATTATAGCTATTAAAACTTTATATGTATACAGTACGTCTGTCCGTTCTGTAGCTACGGGGTATCCGTGAGAGGGGAAACGATATTCTCTCCATGTTTTTCGTAAAAAATTAGACGACGCGTCCCATCAATAAAAATTCGACAAATTTGCAAGTAGCCAATAAAATGAGTGGGCGGAGCGATTTGCGGTGACGTACTCGTCAAGTCGACGTATAAAATATATTGTTGTTTATTTAAATGTTTTTTGTCCGCATTCCTTTCATAGACACAGATCCAGCAGACGAACTGTATTATGCTACAACGCTGCAACTGCTGCAACTACACATGCCTTCTCTTTCTACGGTTCTCTATCTTGTTCTCTATCTAATTGCCTTTTATCTAGGTGGTTGATCCTGTGTCCTCTAGGATCAGTCGCTACTGATATATATATAAAGAAATCGTTATGATTCTAGTGGTATTTCCTCTGTTTTCTATAGAACGATTTCAGATATTTTATTTTAGTTAAATTAAAAATGTTTGCTTGTATTAAAAGGGTGTTATGTCTATAAAACATAAGAAACAGAAATTACACGGTAGCAAATATCAATTTTAAACCAATTAAATAAAATTTAATATAAAACATAGTTCGTGGTTGTTATATTAAAAGCCACAACAGTGACAAAGCTTTTTTATTTAATTTGTTATAATAAATATGTAGATACAATAGGATTGTTATATAATATTAAAAATCATGAAAACCACAAATTTGTTTTTTAATATATGCTTTTTAAAATCAATTAAAATTAGACATTATAATATCCACTTTATGTTAATATTATTTTCATTTGACATCATCTAATAGTTAATATACCGTATGATTGTATATGATCGAAAAAAACGGCGTCCAGTTGGCTTGGAAATAACGATCGATGACATTCCCAATTCATACTAGGGCTGGCATTTTTGGTCTTGGGTGCCGATATACGTGTGTACGAAGAGTACGATAAACACACTTAGCAAAATAAGATGTACCGAATAAAGACAGAAGGCAAGTATTTTCCGAAGCGCATGGAATCTAGCGTCAGATTAAGTGGATATATATGTAATAAATACTTCGTATTTATGCTCTCTCCGACTTACTAGATTGCCATAGCGATTCACTCCTATACATGTAAACGCCGACTGAAGGTTTCGCTTGCCAGCAGGGTAGAATTCGTTAATTCGCTCCGTGATCTATTGCGTAAGAGGAGGTAGACATATTTGAAAAAATACATTATTAATAAATGGGGGTATATTAGTTAACGGGTTAGCACACTCATACCAAAATGTTTCTGGTATATAGGCCCTAAGTTAAATCACTAAAATTTGGTGTGGATCACGTGGTTACATGGTATAGGGTGGTCTGCATTGTATTCCGGAAACATCGGCAGCATATTCTCCAGATAAAAATAAGTAAAAAAGTCCTGAAAAAAGTTCATATAAATGTATGTCCTAAAATGCTTAAGAAACTAAGCATTTTAGGACATACACTTATACGCCCTTCTTTACTTATTTTTATCTGCAGAGTATGCTGCCGAAATTTCCGGAATACAGTTCGGACCACTCTGTAGTTTGCACAATTTTTGTTCAGTTAAAAAGTTCGGATATAATATCAAATTATATTTCTGTGGTGTTTCGAATGGCAAAATAAACAGCTACGAACCCCGAGGCCGCCGTGTAATTTCCCCAAAATAATTCTAAATTAAATTATGTATCGTCGACTAGCATCTAATGGCCTACCTGTATTCGGGCTTCGGTTAATCCAATCTTTATGGCCAGTTCTTCTCTGTAACAAAAAAGCACATTAGTCCCTGTATTTAGCTTCTTTTTGGTTGTTTTAGTTTTTGTTGTTTCGGGGTCGCCGCACCTGTTTTTCTAAACGCTGCTTATACGATTATAATTGCTGGTTGTCGTTGTGTTGTTTCCGAGGTTTTGCTACTGGAACTAGCGAGCTACTATTTTACTATTATTTAACCCATAATTTTAGCACTTTTTCTATACGATTCGAGAAATATAACAATGCCCACGTTTATTTCGAGTGTCTCAAGCATCAAGTTCCACTTAAAAAAGGCTTCATCCCGATCCGAATCCGCAACAGTTTATTTCAAATTTGATAAGGGAAATTTGATCTATATTATATTCGATTCCAAACCAGCTTTACTGCAGTCAATCTCAGAAAAAAGTGGGATTGGCTGGAAAGTTCAAGCGCGCTTTAAAAGCCAATCAAGCTTTATCAACAAGTCCTGAAACCAATATGAACTTATGGTATTCAACTTTGGGGTTGTACCAAAAAAGAAACCGACATATTATTCAAACAAGGTACTACGAGGTATTGTTTACACAGCGTGGTACCCCGTATGATAGAATAAAAACGGCGTCAGCGATGGTTATGAATATATGTAAAATTATATGGGAAATGTTATCGATCGTCATTTCATAGCCATCGCTGACGCCCTTTTTATTTGATCATACGGTACATTCGCAATGACAATCTACATAAGGACTTAGAAGTGGATGATGTCGACAACGTCATCAGAAGATATGCTTTAAGACACGAAGAGAAACTCCATCAGCAAATCAACATCGAGGACCCATCAACAACAGCTCCTAGATAGCGATGGCTTAGTTAGAAGACTGTAAAGAATAAAACCATTTGAACTAGAGTAGTGAAAAGTTTTACTACAGCCCAATGCAAATGAAGTCAAAAACAAATAGTTTATACTAGATTGCTTTGGAGCAAATTGTCTAGGGGCAAATTCCCCAAGGGTGATTTAAAAAAATGTCAATCGTATATGTTTAAATCCGTATTTGACGCCAGCTTAGCTATTCAAGCGTGATGGGACAATGTGTTTGAAGCAGTGTATAATATGCAAGACCAAAACCAAGATTCCGCTGGTCTTGGTATTAGAGTCTACTAGGTCTTGGTCTTGCAGGGACTATCTTAGTCGTTGTTTTAGTTTTGCTGCAAGACTCTTGCAAGTCTTGCATTTTTCAAATAGATTTTTGCTATACGAGTTTTCTACATAATTTTTTTAGTATTTTTAGTAGTTTAATGCAAATAAAACTTTAAATAAAGAAATTGTTAGAATATTGTCACACAAAAATTCTTATTTTTCAATATATCGTATTGAATCAATTTAGCAAAAACTAAAGTAATCTACAAACTGGTAGACAGAATAGACATTCTAATAAATAACACAACACTGGAAACAGTAGAAGAATATATATATAGTTGGGGCAACTAAGGCAACTAATACACAGCTCGAGATCTCCACAATCTCCACTACCAGAGATCAACAGAAGAATTAAGTTAGCATGAAGTATTTATGGAAAAAACTTAATCATATTCAAATCTAGAATACCACTTTTTCTAAAGAAGAAAACATTCGACCAATGTGTCATTTACCAGTCGTTGATCTATGCATGCGAAACCTGGACACTTAAAACATACATTATAAGGAAACTGCAGGTCGCACAACGCTCAATGGAACGAAATATGCTAGGAATAATCTAGAGAGACCGTAAAAGAATAGAGTGGATACGGCAAAAGACCCAGGTAATAGATGTCATCCACAGAATTAAATCCCTCAAGTGGTAATGGCCAGGATACCTGACGGACGGACAACAGATGGACCACAAAAATTCCAGCACGGTACCTACGAGGAATCAAGAGACCTAGAGGAAGCCCAAACCTGAGATGGGATGATGATATTAGGAAATTAGCAGGGATAACTTGGGCCCGCATAGCCAACAATAGACCACAATGGACAATGGACCCAACTACAAAGAGTGCATCTAAATATGCGAGGGAGGCTACACCATAATTGGAAATGGTTGAATAGACTGAAAGTGACGATGATGATGATGATTACATTGAATCGCTATTTCTTTCTTTGAAATTTTTTGCAATAGTCGGGAGGACACTATTGTTAATATAAATTAAACCAATAATTTTGAACAAATAAGTAATTTTTTATATCACATTAACGCGAAAAAAATATAAGATCGCAATAGTTTTGCATGTTTGGTCTTGCAGATCAAACGCTTCTCTTGGTGTTGTTTTTTACGCAAGACCAAAGGTGCAACACCATGATCGGTCTCGCTCATCACTAGTTGAAGTGTATATAAAGTTTCAAAAATGCCCTGAGTTTAATTAATGACGTTGTAATTTTCCAGGTCTCTGCCCATACAGCAATACTGACTTGGCATTTGAATTGAAAGTTTTAAGTTTGGTAAGTTGAAAGTACTGTCTAGATCTCCAAATATTGTTGAGCATTCCAAATGTTATTCTGGCCTTGTTTGTTCTGTTTATGATATCTCGCTCTACTGTGCTTCCGTTGGTTGACATTATTCTACTCAAGTAAGTAAAATTATCTACCTCCTCTATAGGTGTTGTTTCAATGATAAAGGGAGCGACAACGATTACAAACGGTGTACAAACTCTCATCGATTTGGTTTTTTTAATGTTGATCTTAAGACCTGCAATTCTAGCTTCATTTAAGTCAAGTAGTTTTGATGCCATATCCGCATGACTATAAGAAATGAGACAGATGCCAGCTCAGATCTTCTAACATGCTAAAAGGAGGCCACCAGATTCCATGATGATTCTTGGAAATAGTTCTCTTTAGAATATCATCTAAGAGGATATTAAAAATAAATGGCGACAAGACGCAAGGCAGGGGCCTCATCCCATTACGAATGTTGATGAATTCACCCCGTTGATCCTTAATGCAAGACTGCACTTGAGGCCTCACAACGGAGCGCCTTGAATGACCAAATACTATCAGAAATGAGGATTTATAGAGCTTAACCATCCAGAGGCCGGTGTATAAGGAGATCAAACTGAGGAAATGGAGGTGGATTGATCACATATTAAGGCGAAGTGGCAATAACATCGCTGAGTAGAACCCATAAGGCAGTAGAACAACTGGTCGTCCAAGATACACATTGAAAGAACAATTTAAAAGGAGATCGAAGTAGTAAACCGATCATGGAACGAAATATCAAATCAATTGCAAACAACCGAACCCGCTGGAGATCATTAATTGAAGCCCTGTGCTCCACATAGGAGGAAAAAATTAAATGAATGAGTGAACGATAAAGGACCCGCTTCACGTACAATTATTTCCGAATCACACTACCTAGTGTTCACACCAGGACTGTGATTAAATCTACATGTTCACGTTTGTGAATGATATTCCTTTAATAATATCATTAAAACTAGCCAAAGTTTAATATTACCTAGTAAAGACGTTCGGATAGTGCGTCCTGGAAAATGTTTTCTCCAATTCTTCCATATCTGGTCTTGCGGAACTTTTACAGATCAAACGCTTCTCTTGGTGTTGCTTTTTATGCAAGACCAAGCTTGCAACACCATGACCAGTCTCGCTCATCACTGGTTAAAAGAGTTTCAAAAATGCCCTTGCTTTGAGTCAAGAATAGTTCTGTTGTGCTAGACGTAGCAGGCTTAAAGACATTTCGTAATTTATTAAATCAGAAAATAAAGACCGTTCCAATTCGATATAAGTTTTTTAATTTGATTTCTTTTTAATGTATAATATTTCCACTGATTCGCCTTTATTAATGCGATTATAAGTCATCGGTATGGTTATCTGAAACGAAAGAGAGACCCGAAAGTTGAAAAAACGAAGAGGAGGAGATATTGATAAACTTTTTAAGCGAACGTGAGATACCATTTATGTTTTTATGGGTCCTAATTGACTCGGTTGGCTTTGCCTGGGCCGAAAGCAGCGTCGCCACATCGTCCGGACAAATTGCAGACAAGCCGGAATGTCTGTCTTTCGACATCCGATTGCTTTATCTCGGCTTGCAGAACCTGAGACACGATATACTCATTTGACTTATTTAGATATCACGTGATTTGTGGGGGCTTGTGTTTTTTGGGGGTTTCTTTTCTCCTTTTTTTTTCGTCATTATAGTTTTGCAATTATTGTCAATCTTGATTGTATTCCATTTCTTATCTTAGTTATTAATTCTTACACTGCCTTGTTTACCGTTCAGGCAGTGAGTTAATTATTTTTCGATTTTAATTGTGAAAAAGGCGTTTTTAAAGTTTCTTTGAGTTGTAGAGTGTATAAAGTATAAATACTTTCATTTTGTGTTGTGGATTGTGACTAAGTGCCTACGATATTGTTTATTAATTATTGTAAAGCAAAGTATGAAAGCACTCTAAAAAGAATGTCGCAATAACATAAAACGTGTTCTGTCGTTTCTTCTTCAGATTGATAAAATCTGCACGTGGCTTCGTCCGTCAATCCCATTAACTTTAGATTTAACAGTACACCCTCTCATTTTTTATCGGGTCTGTCGTGTTTTTGACGGATGTTCTATTGGTATTCTTCTTTTCTCCACCATTATAGAGATGTGTTGGCCACCCTTGTTTTGTGATCATTTTTTTAATGCTGTTGCAACGCTGGGCAGAAGGGTTCCGGGAAAGATAATTCTACACTTCTGGGCCTGTAAAAGGTCGTCAAGTTGGGTCTTGTAAGTTGCTAGAGATCTTACATGCTTCTCGATTAACATTATGAGCAGAGGTACTCCAGTTAGCCTTATTGCATGGGATGCAAAACTGTTGAGCGACAGTTATGCGTCCATTAAAGCCTAAACTTATTTTAGGTGGCTCTAGCTAGTTGTCGAAGATGGTTAATCAATAGTTCCGAATAATAAGTACTTGAGTGAGATGGAAGATATGGATTGACATGTTGGATAAGAAGGTCAGTGGTTATGGGGCGGTGTACCCTCGGGTGAGTTTTAGTATTTAATTACCAATTTTATCCATATCAATAAATGTTTGCCAATGATCAACTAAATGGATATTTGAGGTAAATTTGCAAAATTAAAAATGCATTATACGAGTATTTTTTCGTCAATTTAGTTTTTTTAAATTGATATTAAGACCTGCTTCATTTAAGTCAAGTAGTTTTGATGCCATATCCGTATGACTATGAGAAAAGAGACATATGTCATCTGCATAGCCCAGATTTTCTAACATGCTAAAGGGAGTCCACCATATTCCACTATGATTCTTGGAAATTGTTCTTTTTAGAATATAATTTAAGGAGACATTAAAAAGAAATAGCAACAGGGCGGAACCCTGTCTCACCCTATTCCGAATGTTGATGGATTCACTCCATTGAGCATTATGCAAGACATATGCACATTGAGCTTCACCATAGACCTTTACGAATGGTCAAAGACTATCAGAAATGAGGATTTATGGAGATTAACCATCCAGAGGCAGGTATATAATGAGATCAAACTGAAGAAATGGAGGTGGATTTGTCACACATCAAGGCGCGATTCTCACTATAACGTGATATCAATCTTACATCTTAAATGGAATTGGGCAGGACATGTGGCTGGGATAACAGATGGACGGTGGAAAAAGAGACTTGTGGAATGGAGACCAAGGCACGAAGCCTATAGAAACAGAGGACAACCTCCTACTCGATGGATAGATGATATTAAGAGAGTGACTGGAAAGTAGATTCAAGTGAGTTAAGGGAGGCTTTTGTTCAGCAGTGGACGGGATACGCTAAATGATGATGATGATTATCATTAAAACTAACCAAAGCTTAATATTACCTAGTAAAGACGTCCGGATAGTGCGTCCTGGAGAAAGTTTTCTCCAATTCTTCCAACTGGTAACTGGTAAACGTGGTCCTGTACCTCCTCTGTTTCCTTTTTGGTGCGAACTCGTCGGGTTCAGGGTCACTTCCGTCACTCTGATCGGGACCGGGGGGCCTGGGTTCGATACCAGCCGCTGGCGTTACTTCCTCTGATACTCCCATGTTTGTCGGGTGCTCAGACGAATGAGATTCTGAAACAATAGAAGAAATACGATTATATTCAGAAAAGCCAGGTAAAGATTTATGAATAACTTTAGACTTAACTTGACTTAAAACAGTCGATACCATACAAGCAGCCTACAAGTGAGACGTGGGCAGCATTATTATAAGTACAGTTATATGGTAGCATCCATGTAGCATCCAAGTATACTTTGACCGTATCAACACGTGTCTAGTTGGCAAACTATATATTTGTTTTGATTAATACAACATGTTGCTATACCTATTTTGTATACAGTCAGTTTTTACAACAGTCAATTTTTATAACAAAAATTAAACGGTATTAAAAAAATCCGGGAGCATATAAGAAGGTTTAATTTAATATCTCCTATCTATATTAATATTTTGCAACAAAACGAGCAGAGAGAAAAAGTTTGAAATTGCTAATGGTTATTACTGAAAAGGCATTAACGGTGCCACGTATCGATCTTGTTAAATCCGAACCGATAACTATCTCGAGCCCATTTCCTCATTTAATTTAAGGCTTGAATGGTTAAGTTATTACAAATCGGCAAAAAATCTATTAAATTATGATTAAATGAAGTTAATTAACAAGGAGTGTTTTTATATTGCTGCGCGCGTAATTGAACTACTTTCTATAATGTATTGTGATCATGATTTTTTACGCTATTCGATTTGCGTAATGTATATAATGTTTACGATATATATTATATGAGATATCTGAGTTTAGAAGCTGCCTCATCACGATTGATCACACACATACACTAAGAGAAACTATCAGCCGAACAAAAGAATACGAACTTCCACTTTTTTATTCGATGAGGAGGGAAAAATCTCGCATTGCTTCAGTGCAAAGGGTGTCTATAGATTTACTTTATGTTGCTCATTGTCTCTCTTCCCTCTCTTTACAACATATTATATATTTCGGACTATCCCATATATTAGCTTCCATTGTTCTTCCCCTTTAACTAAGTACATCAAAATGCGGGTAAGTCAAAGTCTCTGCCGGTTTCTATATGGAATTGTTCCCTAAAAACCTGCCGTTGTTCACACGCAAACATCATTATCTTGACCACAGTAAATTCATGATGCACTATCAACCCTACGACGATCATATAAATATTTTCTAAAACACCCATGGCCGGACAATGAAGTAATCGACTTCTCCATATTGTCTGTTTACCCATAGTTGTATGTCGGGTATTACAACCTGTATGTCCATCTGCCATATATTCCGTTATTCCATTTACCTTGCCACTGATGGAGAAGGTTTTGTCCTTGCTAGATTTTTATCCATCCCATGGTATCTATCATATCGTTCCTGTATGAGCAGATCAATATGCTTATATTTAATATTATTTTTTATTTTATTATATTATTATTTCAGCTATAACTCCTATAGCCTCTCCAAATACCGTTTTGTCGGTTCTGTATACCCTAATAGACATCATGCGTTGTATTCTGCCTAGTCTTTGCATTAGCTTGCAATTGTTAGTGACTTTATGCCATAGTAGTGTATATATAGCAAGTATTCTTCTTGTGGATGATCTAGCACCTCTTACATGGCATGAGTAAGGCTAAAGCGGTGACAGTTTTCTCGGCCTTGGTGATAGTTTTATTAATATAGTCGGCAAAATTCAATTTGGTATACAGCCACACTCCTAAGTACTTTAAAGAATTACTTGAGTAAATTATGGTTCCTTGTATATAAAACTGCACCGGGGATATTTTTATTTTTCAGGTCAGTAATACTGCTTTCGTTTTATGTGAAGCTACGGTTAACAGATTATTCTTCATTCAGTTTATAACTCGTTAGTCTGCCAAGTTGACGGTGTTCATCAGTACAGCTTCATCTTTTGCACATGATAAAGTCAATGTTTTTCGTCTTAGATATAATTGATTTTTGTTAAAATAGTAGTACATTGGGGGTCAATTACTATTGTGGACTATTCGAAATACTATGATATGAAACTTAATTATCATTATAAAACCAAAACTTACACAAGGATTATAGAGAAGTTGACGGTGTTCATCAGTACAGCTTCATCTTTTGCACATGATACAATGGCAAGGTCGTAAAGCATAGTCTGCAAAGGCAACTAAAGTTGTTTTATCTGGCATTTCTATCCTCAGTAGTTCATCATAGAGTACGTCCAGAGCATAGGTCCCAACCCTTTGGCCTCTATTATGATTCTTCTCTCTGATAGGTAGGATGCTATAATATCAATTAGACATTGATCTATTTTCCTCTCTTGCAGATTGTTCAATATAACTTGCCAGGAGGCGTTGTTAAATGCATTTTTGACGTGTATGCAGCAGCTTCTTCCGCTATCTGCATTACTTTAAAAATAGCATCCACGGTCTGCCTTCCTTCACGAAAGCCATATACAGGGTGTCTCAGATTTTAATCGGGACAAAAACTAAAGTAATGTACAACGAAGTAGTGGAAAGAAAAGACATTCTAATAAATAACACAACACTGGAAATGGTAGAAGAATTTTTGTGACAACTAATACACAGCTCGGAATCTCTACTACCAGAAATCAACAGAAGAATTAAGTTAGCATGGAGTACTTATGGAAGAAAGTCAATCATATTTAAATCTTGAATGCCACTCTATCTAAAGAAGAAAACATTTGACCAATGTTTACTACCTGTGCATGCGAAACCTTGTCACTTAAAATCGACATCATTAGGAAACTGCACAACGCTCAATGGAACGAAATATGCTGAGAATAACCAAGAGAGACCGTAAAAGAATTGAATGGATACGACAAAGGACCCAGGTAATAGATATCAGCCACAGAGTCAAATAACAGATGGACCACAAAAATTACAGCATGGTACCCACGAGGAATTATGAGACCTAGAAGAAAACCGAACCAAAGATGGGACCATGATATTAGGAAATTAGACTTACAAAAGAAATTAACAATAATATAAATCAAATATTATTATATTTAACTTAGAATAACTTCACTTTCCATTTCCTCTAGTCATTTTCCTTTAATGCATTACATTTTGCCACAAATAAAAGGAAACATAAAGGCCTATAAATCCCGCTATCTTATCCACTGTCAGCTTTTAAGTTTTATTACGTTGTTTTAATTAAACATTAAACAATTTGCCTTTGTGAAAGTGCATTTATTCCCAACTTATATATACGTTGCATGATAGCGAAATAATAAAAAAATGTATAGAGAACGATAAAACAAATTTAAATTTATAATCTAATAGCAATTGCTCCTCGCTCTGATTACTGTCGGATGTTTGCACAGCATAATCATAAATCACGATATTTTATTAACTAATAAATAATAATTCTGGTTGAAATGAGCTGGGTAGTAAAATAGGATTTTCATTGAGCCTGTTTTTATTCAATAGTTTGTAATTATATGCCATTGAATTGGTACGAAAGTCAATGTTTTTCGTCTTAGATATAATTGATTTTTGTTTTGAAATAGTAGTACATTGTCAATTACTATTGTGGACTATTCAAAATATTATGATGCCGACATTAATTATCATTATAAAACCAAAACTTACACAAGAATTATAGAGAATTTGACCAAATCCAGAGATCAGGGCCGTCCTTAGACTGTTGGCCGCCTGGAGCAAGCCCGAAAAAATGCGCCCCCTCTACAGACAATCGTTTTTTTTATTAGTGCGATCCGAAGAATCAGGTGTGAACATTTTTTTATGAAAGTTGCGGCACAGATGGTAAGAAATATTATCAAACGCTTTCCGAAAAAAAAAGAAAATCAATATTGCAAGATTTTCAGAATTAGCATTTAAATTTTGTATTTAAAAGGAGCGTCACATGGTACCTAACAAGAATAAAAAAAAACATTATAAGGTACATTAGCCAAACTAACACCTAAAACTAGGTAATATAAATTATTATAAATTATCAACAATACAAAATTCGTAATAAATACATAGACATAATCCTGAGAAACAAAATTCCTAACATGGACAAAACTAAAACTCTGAAATAAAATCGTCGATGTTTAGACTGTTCGCTATTTCGTGCTCAATAGATATTAAAGATAATCCGCTTAATCGTTTTTGTGTCATACTACTTGATCTCAGGTAATTCTCAATTATTTTGAGTTTAGAAAAACTTCTCTCTCCGGTTGCCACTGAAACCGGCAGCGTTAATAAGATTCTTATGGAGAAATAAATATTTGGAAAGTTTCCAATCAGATCGTGAATTTTTAAATATTTTAGTGTTTGTTTTGGAAAACTGAAGTTTTCGGCATTATCTAGTGGTATTAGAGCAATTAGAGCTAAAATCTCGTCCCGAAGCTCTAGGCCATTAATATCATGTTTGTCTCCGTCCGTTAAATAGAGATGAAGATCCATACAATGCTTTGTTATAAGGTTGATATTCCTGAGAACTGTGAAGTCGTATAAAAACGAAAAATAGTCCGAGTGAGCTTTTAACAGGTCAAACCTTTCCTGGAGAGCCTCATGGATTGTATCCAGGACAACAAAGAAAAATTCGATTTTAAACTTTTCCTGTGGATCTAAAATTGGCTCATCCACTGATTCATACAAAAACTGACTAGTTTTTTTTTCTGGGACGAGCTCTAATGTCATTAGTATTCCCCTAAAATGGTCGTCAGTCCTTATTTTGACAAAATAGTCGTCGATAGCTTTTAGAGCTTTTGTGGACCCAACGATGTCGAGTTTCTCATTCTGAAGCAGTTTACGTTGCATTTATATATTTACTAGTTGCATTAAAACGCCATTAAATGGAGAATTTAGAGAGAATCGGATAAGAACAAAGAGCGCCATATCTAGGCCTGCTAGGTCCTGTGATTTAACTTCTTTCGACTTTTTAATGGGGGAAATTAAAAGACCTTACATATAGGGAAGAACCTTACATATGAGAGAAGAATTGCAGAAGGCTACTAGGCAAGCTTTTGGACTTATTACACCAGTTCGCCTAATAAATCGCTGTAACTCTGTGCGCAAAAGATGTTTATTATGTATTCAATAAG